CTGGCTTATTGCTGGCTCTAGTTCTATAGCCCGCGTATACAGTGACTGCCGCAGGGCTATAGAACATCTTGAACTAGATTTCGCAGCTGCACCAGCTCCTCAAAGTTCTCACAAAAAATCGCTCTCAAAACGCAAAATGATCGGGCTTTTTAACACTTATCTATCTACGTGGACATCTTACCTATCTTTTTGAACACTTTCCACAACTTTACACCATGTATTTATGCATTTATTCCTCAAAGTGCTACTAGCACTACTTGCGTTTCGTGTTTTGAATTGCTGTTGTGTACACGCGTGACATCACCCAAAATGTAATAGGCTGCATTATAGCTGCCCATGTGTTTTGTCTACATTTCGGGTGACGTCACGCGTGTACACAACAGCAATTCAAAACGAAACACAATTAGTGCTAGCACTTTGAGGAATAAATGCATAAATACCCCGGGGGGGTCACTATATATGCCGGTATTACTCCATGTGCGTTCTCACTAAAAATAATAGGCCCCCTAGTGCGAACTGCACATTGGAAAACCCTACCCCCTATTGCAGACACAATTGAAGAATACCACCTTATAGCTATTGCATACACAATGAAAATATCCCACCCCCTGTTGCATACACAACGAAAGAGTTCTACCCGGACCCCTACCCCCTATTGCGAGGTCTTGCAGACAAGTGGAGGGCAAAGAGTGGAGGGAATGGAGGGGGACCGTGAGGGGGGCCTACTGCGGGCGCGGTGCTTGACTTGATCCCGAGGGCTTATTGCGGGATTAGCTTTGTAAAGGGGGGCCTATTTGCTCCCGCGCGGGCCCGCTTTAGAAGTTGAAAAACACCCCCCTAACCCGCAAAATTTGGAACGCACATGGGGTAATACCGGCATATATAGTGACCTCCCCCCCACCCCCGGGATAAATACATGGTGTAAAGTTGTGGCAAGTGTTCAAAAAGATAGGTAAGATGTCCACGTAGATAGATAAGTGTTAAAAAGTCCGATCATTTTGCGTTTTGAGAGCGATTTTTTGTGAGAACTTTGAGGAGCTGGTGCAGCTGCGAAATCTAGTTCAAGATGTTCTATAGCCCTGCGGCAGTCACTGTACGCGGGCTATAGTACTAGAGCTAGCTTATTGCTACCTATTAGCTGTGACTAACTCTTATTGCACGATTTTTTTTCCCGTTTTATTTCCTTTTCTGTCAATATTAATCCACTAGATGTCAGCACCATTAGTTCCAAGGATTACCAGTGCCAGTGACACCCGGCAGTTCATCAAATATAGTGAGGATCCAACTCTATTCAACATTAAGCGTAGGAATCTGGAGTCTACTCTCTTTGCTGATTTCTAAACTAACCCGAACTAGATGTTACTTCCATCTCCATAAGGTTTCTTTTTATTCTATGTGTTTCGTTTATTTCACACTATGCATGTGTATCTAGCACGTTCTATATTTATTTATTCTTGTTTATTATTGATTTAACAGTTTTTCATCTGTCCTCTTGTCATCTCTTTTCTGTCCGCTAATCTTCGTCTAATCTTTACCGACTAATCGCTGCGTGAACCGGCACTCTCTTGCTCCCTGACTGCGCATTAAACGCTCTTGTGTTTCTCGTGCGCGACGCACGCGTAGGTCGAGGCGCCGTTCATTCCAAAGTGCAAGGGTGCCGGAGACTCGAGCAACTTTGATGATTACGAGGAAGAGCCACTGCGAATCTCGACAACGGAGAAATGCGTCAAGGAGTTTGCCGACTTCTAGCAAGAATGCGTCGGCGACAGCAGGGGAGCGGCGCGCGGGGGGTCGGGGCCGCCATGACACCACCAGCGGACACACCACCATGAGCATCCCCCTAGCCTGCGGACGCGTGCACGGGAACACGTCAGCCGATGTCTACCCACCAGCGTGTCTGCGTACCGGTGTCTGCGGACGCTAGGGCAGGGTGACGTGCCGACCATCTAGTGTGAATGCATGAGCACCCTGGCTGGGGAGGGGGTGCGCGTGGCGAGGCGTTGGGCGGGGGGGCACACGCCGTCTGCTTAACCGCGAGGGCTGGACGAACAGTCGTCGTTGTTGTAGAGGTTGTTATATATTGACAAACGCACCCGCGCGCTATGCACATACGCGTGGTCGCTTCACGGCATGGTGGGTCGTCCGTCGGTGGGGCTGCACGGATGCGCGTAGTTGTAATAGACTAATAATAGCTATTTTAATACACACCTGCATATACCTGCATCGTTAGTGCAGACTCTGTTGTTAGCGAATGAGTTTAATTCTAGTGGCACTCGCGTCGCTCGAGCTTTGAGCGTGATTTGGCGCTGGCGGCTGAGAGTGATTTGTAGACATCGACGCTGGCTGTTGGTTTACGATCGATCGATCTCGTAACGTCGCGATTGTTATGTGCGGGCAGTTTTGCCGATCGCGATTCGACTGTTTCGCGTAGGTGTTTGGTGTTGCGCTGCTGCACACGTCGGTAAACATTTGACATGTCTCGCACATTTTGTGTTGCGGGTCGTTGGCCAGATCGTGTCTGCAGATAATAATAATAGGGATGGTAATGTTAATAATAATCATGGTGAGTATAACCCGCAACGTTGTACATAGTGTAAGGGTGGCAAGACAGGAGGTTATTGGGGACGCGTTCGGCTAGCTACGGTTAATTTAAATTTGTATCCTGATGCTCATCTACATATACGTATATGTATATAGGTGTGTGTGTGTGTGCGTGCGTGCGTGCGTGTGTGTGAGAGAATGTGTGCGTGTGCGCGCGTGCGTGCGTATATGTGTATTGTCATGCGTGGTTAGTTGTGCCATGTTTTGCTCTGCTGGTCTATCACATGCCTCTGTCACATGTGTCAACACGTACTGCTTCTATGATGTCAGCTGAAAAGGTCTCACGGAATGCTTACATCAAGCACCAATCTAATCAAACACAACCAATGTCCCCTCAGCTGCATATATATATATTATATGCATATAGATATATACGTATATATATATATACGCACCTGCGTCCGCATTGTTGACACGTTGCCATTGGCAACACTAAGGTAATCTGCGGCATACATGTATGGATCGATCACTAACGTAAATGCGCATGCGCAGTCAGTGTGGTTCGGACATGCACGGCTGGCTCTACAGATCGGCGGTGGTGGAGGTGTGGGGGTGGGGGTGGTGTGTAACGGTTATTTTCGGGTTGCGGGGTAGGGCCATTTTAATTATCAAGAAACCGATAATTATCAGATATATTTTTATGTGGTTCGACGGCAACCGGGACGCGGGAAAACCAAAATCACAATTTTAATTGACTAGTAACTGGGAAATGACACGTTTGTTACCTGATACATTGGGTATGAACGCTTTACGTGTATTTGCCCTTGACGTTCGCTGTCCACCCTCCTAATAGTGTCTCTTGTCATAGCGGTTTTAGCTTTTCTCGTTGATGCGTCTCGAAATCTATAACAGTCGTTATCGGTCAGAATTTTATCGTTGTTGTTGCGGTTGCCGTCGTCGTCGTCGTCATCGTCGTCTTGTTGTTTTTGTTTTTGTTGTTGTTATTGTTGTACAGATAGATTTTCATTCGCGGGGCGACACCAGCTCCGGTTAGATTTATGTTCTCGCACATTAAATAGTCGCAGGCGCACAGCGTAGAGCGTAGATCTACGAATTATAACGTAGTGATCATACCCACTGCTAATATCACGACGTGCGTGCGTGAATACGTGTGTGTGTGTGCGTGCTGTTGGCAGGCTGCTCCGTATTTTTCACACTCGTCTTTGTTGGAGTTGGCATATTCGATTCCTCGGTGTGGCACACTTTTTCTAGTTGAATATATCCCACAGGTGGCGTTAGTGTCGGCGAAATCGTAAAATCACCGCGCTGTGCCGCGTATGAGCACAGGCTTATGCGGCGTTCACACAGTGCCGATTATGGCTCCCGTTTGAGATCAGACAGCGCTATGACACGAAAAGTGAAAAAGTCGGATTACTATCCTCAATGATCTTGAATGTCCTATCATTGTTTGAACGCAGTCGTATACGTTCGTAACAGAGTCCTACGGATCGGGAATGGTCTGGAGAGGTCGGCCAAGCACTCCCGACAGTTAGGTGCGTCCCGTAACATTCGGGAAACTCAGCCGATTTTGTCTAGTCGGATTAAAATGGTGACTATGTCGTGACAGATTCTGCTGTCTCGGATCAAAATCGTAACAATGTCCTGTGTTGTCTGGCCGGTGTCCTGTGGATCGTGATGAACGGGCATGATCTGGAGAAATCCATCGATCATTGTCATCGTCTTCCGTCAGCGTCGGTTCACTGTTGGGTCACTGTCTGATCTTTGTCGGATCGCATTCGGGAGAATCGGGACGCTGTCGGGACAGATTTGGTCGTTTTTTACTATGCGAAAGATACAAATCGGATCATAATCGGATTGAGAACTGGAGAATCGGGACGAATTCGGCTGGAAACGGCTGAATCGGGACGCTTCCTGAACAATATCTGATTGCTGTCGTGATTAAATAAATGTTTTTACAAATTTTTAATAAAGTTTGAATTTCCCTACACGAATCACAGGATCTTGATCAGACTTTTGACAAATTTTAATCGAGAATGGTCCTATCAAGGACGGCAGTAAAAATCCTGAATGTGTGACTGGTGCCTTAACGCGCCCAGCGTATGATAGTCGCTGATAGCCCAACAAAAAGTACATTGTATCACTCTATGATAGCACGTGCACGCGAAAGGGTTCTGTGTTAGTGCGGACGGGGGCGCCACTGTGCCGTCTTGCGTCTTCTTTGTCAGAAGGTGTCGCTGTTGCTGGCGGTGCGCGCGCAGCACTACCGCAACTGCGTCTGAACCGGTACTGAGCGAGCGTTTTATTTATAGAGGAGATATATCTCTATGCTCAAGCCAAAAAATTTCATGAAATTTCCAGCACCTAATTATGTTACCACACAAATTTTGAATTTTTAGCTCATCTGACGAAGTCAGATGCAGCTTGTAGAATCGCATGCATCGTCCGTGCGTGCGTGCGTTCGTCAACAGTTGGGCACAAATCTAAACGGCTCGACGTACGGATTCGAAAGTCGGGACGTGGGGGGTAATCCGAAAACGAGTTGGGATGTCGAAGCAGGGGGTCAAAGGTCAACATCTTTCTAAGATGGCCCACCTGTAAGAAAGAAGGGGAACATTCAATATAATATACTTACGGTTAGGAGAGCTACTCCCAGGGTTATGGAACTGGCCACGTCAATTGCTCTACCCACGACCGGCACAAATCCCATAAAATGCGCTTCCGGCACCTAGGCTCCGAGCTGGATAGCACTCGCGGTGTGCATAGCAGGTCATATCCTAGCGCGGAAAAAGACATTCACTTGTTCGAAATTGGAAGGTCGACAGCGTCAAAGCGTCAATGCCGCCGCCACCATGCGGCCACCGCATTTTCACGACATTTTTCTGAGGACATGGTCTGGGCTCGACGGAGCGCAATCTCGCTCGAAAACATTTTGTTTCAGCGGTGAACCTACCATTCTTTATTGGCTTTATTGAAAGACCATGAATATTATGCTGACTTTTCGCTGACATTGCGAAGAGTAAGTGTCTGAGTAACTTTTTGACCTAAAAGAGGCATGGAGGCTTAAACATGGATTTGCTGGTTACTGTTAGAAAAGAATTTGACTCGCCCGGCCGTTTGCCTAGTAGAATCTATAACATCGGCGCTGGATCGGCTGATGAGGCTACAATGCTCACCAGGTTGAAATTTCAAAAGGCATAAATTTAGGTTGAAGCAAGCGTTTATGCCTTCCTTAAATCGCGATAATTATCTATTGGCCATTCGTTTTACTTTCAGCTGTGCTTACATTGCAACTTATTGCCACTGCTCAGTGCATGCTCGGTCTGGTGATAGTACTGGTCGTAGTTTTTGCCTGCCATAATTAGTTACAGCCGTGGGCATCTTCTTCACTATTTCAGCGCGTAGGCCTTTGCCAGTATGTGTACAATGGTGATGAGTGCAGCTTACCTTTATTCTGCCTCTTCAACATAGTTGTTGCCCAGCTACGTACGGATGAGCATCCATCTTTAATCTATAAGACACTTAAACTGTACGCTGCCATCTCGTCGGCAACTTTCATAAAGATTCCCAACAGGAACATATCTCCTAATCGAGAACGCGCTTCCTGCGGATACCATCCACTGTCGCCTTCGCACTGCTTTCGGCGCGTATTGTGAACACATTTTTGGACTAACAGGGTTTTACTAGAATCCACCACTCCACCAGCAGAGTCAACCACAGATAGACGTGAGCATGGATTAGCTGCTCTCGCCACTGCCGGCACTTGTTGTTAGTAAGGTGGCCTTACGTGAAGCGCCGCATTTGCACGGTGACGTTGGCCACCACAACGTACCTGCCTAACCTTGCTCACATTTCGATCGTTCCGTCGTCGGTTCGTCGTCCTGTCGTGGCGTCGGGTCGGAGTCGTCTGTTCGCGTGCGGCGCGGGAGGAGCGGAGTGAATGAGCGGACTGTGTTGGGCTCATATCGCGAGGAGAGCGAGTGGGCTGGGGCAGACACGTCGTGCTCGCCGCTGCCGAACGCGCGCGCGCGATGCGCATGACCGAGCGCCCGGCCCCCCCCCCCCCACATGCGATTTACTTCGGTAGTCTCCGTCAAGCTCTCCGATTGACGTGCTCATCCGTGATCGCGGTGCGCGAAACTCAGCGCGATATAACTAAGTGGTATTAATGTGTATTTAGATATCAGTAGGCCCTATAGTGATGGAGCATTTTGCCAGTAGTGTAATGAGAAGCGAACGTCACTGGAGACGGGGTTTTAATGATGATAACGATGATGATGATATTGCTGTGTTTTTTATACGCGCTTATGGCATAAACTGCGAATTCTGACGCTGCGTTCTCCGCGTGGCGGCGTGCGTGCGTGGAATCATGGCAATAGTAAGCGCGGTTGAGCCTCTGCGTACGGTGTGCATCAGGAGTGGCGAAGAACGTGTGCGTGCCCGTGCGGTGCGTGCGTGCTCCTGCGTTGTGTTCTCCGCCGTCGCACGGTTGTTTACGCTCGCTTCAAGCTGGCAAAAGCTTGCTTATTGATTGCTTCTAGGTTGTTGTTGTTGTTTATTCTTTGGGGAGGGGGGGTATTGGCAAAGTTAACACCCATTATTTCCCTGGCACGCAAAACAGCGATGCTAAATGATGATGTTTGGTAATTCTCGCGCAGCTTTCTGTTTTGCATTATAGGCGTGTGATTTACGCAACGATGTATTTGAGGCTGGGGCTAGCTGTCATTGCATGTACGAGCTTCCTCATCCACCTTCTGCGTGTTCCCCATGACTTGATTGCATATTTTTGCATGCAAAGTGTGATCAAAAATGTGCTAGTGTTAAATTTTAGACGGGAATAAACGATTTTATTTGACAATATCGGACGTGTTTCAATTATTGAGTTATGTTAGTTACTTAAAGTAATTAAATGGTGTAATTATTAATCTCAATAGAATACCTGCTCACCCAACATCTCGCTCACACATCACACATAAGCGTATACTCTTGCTAACCTTCTTCATTCATCCATTCGTCTATCCACCCATCCGTCTACTCGTCCATCCACCCATCCATCCATCTACTCGTCCATTCATCCATTCGTCTCTCCACCCATCCGTCTACTCGTCCATCCACCCATCCATCCATCTACTCGTCCATTCATCCATTCGTCTATCCACCCATCCGTCTACTCGTCCATCCACCCATCCAGCCATCCATCCATCCATCCATCCATCCATCCATCCACCCATCCATCCGTCCATCCATCCACCCATCTATCCATCCATCCATCCATCCATCCATCCATCCATCCACCCATCCATCCGTCCATCCATCCATCCATCTATCCACCCATCCATCCATACATCCATCCATCCATCCATCCATCCATCCATCCATCCATCCATCCATCCATCCATCCATCCATCCATCCATCCATCCATCCGCTGATGATCAACTTTCAGCAGCATGCAGAGTTGCAGACTTTTTATCAGGATCACAAAACGTTGGTGACGGAAAGTGCAGTCGTAGCTGCTGATGTGGATCAAAGAAAATGGTAAGAGACGTTTGTAGGTTCAGATGAACGAGACTGTGTCCAACAGGGCAGAGCTGCGTCAAATCGCCGCACTGTACAAGCGACTCCACGTAGTACTTATAAGTAACCCGCGAGAGCGCAGTTTATGTTCGCACGCCACGCGTTCTGCGGACGTTCTCAAGGTCAGTGCGAGAGACGACAGATAGGGTTTCTTAAAGACTTACTGACCTCGAGATACGCGCTGACCTCAGTCGTAGCCAGTGGTGTTCGCTTATTGCCCGATTGAGTATTCTGTGTCTAAACTCCGATTTATTGCCCGTCTTGCCCGTGCTACTATGATGTCGCATCGCATGTTGTGCTCTGTACAGGGGTATTATGCCTCCTTATCAAGGTGTCTGTCATCACTGTGGCCATAGTGAGACGATGCGTGATGAAATGGCGCGTGTGCAAGATTCGTGTATGGAGAGCAAGATTGTCAGGTCTATAGACTTAGATCTAGATAAAGGTCATTCGGATTGGTTGTGCACAGGACCTCATAAGCCTACGACGAGTATTCTTCATAGTCGAAGGAACTGTAACGACGATGGAGAGAGTCTATAACGTTGACCATATAGATCATTGCCGCGGGTTGCAGTAGGAAATGTTTCTATTCTACAATTAACTGGAAACGAGAAATCCCGCATGGAACGACAGAAACAAAAATCACTGCGCTAGAATGGAATGCAATGGAATTCAGCAAATCCAAAAATCTACGCACCGTGGGAAATTCTGAAACAGATGGGGATGCGGCGATTTCTTCATGTTCTGATGTAGACTTCCGCCGTTCCACTACTGAATGCGGCGGGTGCGACATTGCAAGTCGTGGCAAGTAGGCATTTTATCTTACTCCTGATTTTATTATAGGTAGGCTTAGTATTTTCATATATATGTTGTTGCGTATTTAGATCTTAGCTGAAGTCGTTGGTCGAATTTAATCACCGATATTTGCTAGGGAAGCGCTAGCTGTTTTTAACCGTTTTAATGATCTATAATGATAAACGTTATGTGATGTGCGAATCTATCTATCCATCCATCCATTCGTCCGTCCGTCCATCTGTTCGTCTTACCATCTATCCATCCATTCATCCATTCATCCATCCATCCATCCATCCATCCATCCATCCATCCATCCATCCAACCATCTATGCATCCATGCATCCATGCATGCATCCATCTATTTAACCGTCCATCCATCCATCTATCCATCCGCCCGTCCGTCCTTCCTTCTTTCCATCCATCCATCCATCCGTCCATCTCTCCGTCTATCCGTCCGTCCGTCCGTCCGTCGTCCGTCCGTCCGTCCTTCCAACGAACCATCTTTCAAGAAATTAACGAATCAATCCGGTCATCACACAACCCCCAAAATGGAATGAATTTATCGAACTGGCTTCATGAAACTATCGAACATGCCAAAAAATAAAATACCGACACAAAGGTAGACTACGTGGGTAGAACGCTCTACTACATCCCTGTCCCTGTGACGCATTACGCACACATGTTGAGCCACTACGCGGTGGCCACAGTAAAGCACGGGGAAATCCACAAAAGCAAAAAGATAAAACGCAAGAATCCGCACCTATTCTTCGAGCTATTTTACTGTACGGTACTACCGACGTGAGTCGATGAGAGGTGCAGCTTGGGTCCAGCAAACATGTTGGTCTAGAGCCAAGACATGTGCAAAAAGACATGATATGTGTTACCTACCATTGCATACACAAAAACAGTCGAACTAAGCAAGCGCTTGTGTACTTTCAAACGACGAAAAACTGGGAAATAATTGAATCCCCTACGAACGCATGAAACGAAAATGCGCTGACGCATTTAATAGTACTGCTATACTGCATTACAGTTATAGTAAATTCTTTTTTATTAAGGAATTTTTAATCCGTCTTTATTTATACTATTTCCTTAAATAGGCACGCCATGAAAACTGAATAAACATATACATATGCATTTAAAATAAACACAAATTATGGACTCATTTCGCAAGATCTAATGCTATAACTGATTATTAATTTGATATATAAATTCCCGCTTTGATGGTACAACTACTTTATAGATACGCATACATAATTATATTGCTAAATTAGAAATATACGCGCTATTATATATATATATTTCACGAAAAGTGGAATAGAGCACCAATGCTAGGTATACACGAAGTAGTATATTACGACGGTTTTAGAAAAATGCCATTCCTCTGGGAGAAGTGGCCCACTCGCACGCGCAGGCACACACTCGCGCAAGCACACACACATTTACACGCACACGCACACGCACGCAATGCACGCAAACCTCCGCACACGCACGACAAGCTCATGCACGCTCGCGCGCGCATATACACGATTTTTTTACTAGAGTTTATATATTTATAAGAATTACACAGAAACCTTCCGCCTCTAAACTATATATCTATTTAGCTTCCATATACCGTTGCTGTTCTTCCTTTGCCATGTAGTATTGAGCTTCCGTCCTACATAAAAACAAAACCAAATAATCGGAAGTAAGATAATAACCAAAGTATGTATTGTATTTTATACAGTTATGTTTGTATAGTTATATATAATCAATAGCTAACAATACATTATGTACAATAATGCATTATCAGCTCCTGATATAATGCAGTTTGCTTCTGCAGTACAGGTTGTGTAGATTTGCAATATCATCATTTCCAATATCACCACTTAGCAAAATGAACGTTTTTAACTTTCACTAAGTAATGGCTTTTATATTTTATTAGATAGCTAAATAGCTATAGAAATTTATGCATAAACTTCAATTATCAGCCAAGTATTTATATGATACATCATATGTTATGTGACTCACATCTCAATGCTTCGGCAATCCTGCGAGATTTTCCCACTAGGGCACATGCATGTGTTCGGAGCAATACAGTGTCCGCCATTCTTACAATTGGGGTCGCAGATAGCTGCAAGCGGTCACGAATATGTTCAGATTTGTATCATACAGCATACTAATTTATATTAGTTAGTTAAATAAATTACCGTAAGATATATACAATTTTTACATGTAGGCCTATTACCGCAAGGCGTAATCTTAGCTAGCGTTGGGGGGGGGGGAGTTGCCCATCAGAGAAATATAGATACTATCAGGAGTACATGAATTAGAAAACCACTATTTAATGTAGTCCTGATACACTCTTAAATTGTACTATTAAATTGTCACCGACTAATGGTCACATTCAACCGACCCCAGAACGCAAAACGCGCGCGCTTGACTCTGTATGCCTCTCCTGACAAAATTAGTTAGCTACGTCCATGAACAGTATCACGCGAAAATTAAGAACCCGTTATAAGCAAGCACAGCAGGCCGTGTACCGAGAAATACACGACTAGTGATATGAAGATTGATGAAGATTTCCTGAAGGCAGATCGAAAATTTCGAAAATAAGTTAATTTCTTGGATAAATGTGAATTCATAGTTTCAACGAAATCCAATGAACTTATTTCATTCATTACGACTAGTGATACCTACCCTGCTGACACCTGGCGCCCGTCCAGCCAAGAGAGCACGAGCACTTGAACGGTGCAATACAGGTTCCGCCGTGCATGCATGGGAAGATGCACATCGCCTGCTCGCAGCTCTGTCCGTGGAAGCCAGGCGGGCAGAGGCACTGATTCTTGCGGATGCACACACCACCATTACGGCAGCCGGCAGCGCAGTGGGCTACAACATAGCGCATATGCATCTAAATCTGCGCGTTTCAGCACTTGGTCACAATCTATCAATATAACTAGATGAATGCGAGGGATCACGGTCCCCAATGTTGAGAACCAGGTTTTGTCAACCTGTATCGTACTAACGACTGCTCTTCATTCTTCGTCGTTATCGGCTAGGGGTGGGGGAGGAGCAATGATAAACTTGGCCAGAGAGTAACGCGATAGCTGTGCAGAGAATAAAGGCTCAGACCCCAGCAAGCTTCAGTGACCTGTTCATTAAGCAATGCTATAAGTATATATAACACAAAATGGGAGAATGCTCGTTGCGGAGGGTATTGTTTTTGGCTCGTGTGTGTGTGTGTGTGTGTGTGTGTGTGTGTGTGTGTGTGTGTGTGTGTGTGTGTGTGTGTGTGTG